TGGGTTTGAGAAAGATGAGTTGGAAGCATGGGGGAAAAATTTTTCAGAAAATTGTCCCTTCTTCTCTGTCCGTATTTTTCACTCTTGAAAAGGAATGAAATCCTGAAATTCACATTAAAAAGGGGCATTCCACCCCTGTAAAAGTTGGAACAGAGATGGAAGAGCAGATGAACCATATTTGTATTTGAAACTCTTGGTGATGATCTAGATTTATGCATTAAAATTACAATTAAATAAAGTTAAGGTTGCGAATAACTCACAAGAGCAAAGAAATGTGCAATTAAAAGGAAAATATACCATATGTCCTTCGATATCTAGGCATATTGCAGTGCATTAAGAAAGTCATAAAAGAGACACCCTGTTGTGGTTATGTGTTTGGAGACATGTGGCACATTTCCACTGTAGCTATCTATCTCCATGCCTGTATGCATCTGTGTCATTATTTAAATGTAGATTTTCAACATGAATTTCTCTTTCCACATTAAAAAAATTGAAGCTGCAGTTTCTTTTTTGAACTGTTCTTTAGATCTGTTGCTATTTATAGACAGAGAAACCCTGAATTTTTAACATATGAATGTAAAATAATCACAAGGAAAGCAGAATAGCTGGACTTAATTTACAACTGTCAGATAAAACGAGGCAAAAGAGGGAGTTTTAGTTATTATGAATGAATGATCTGTCCTTGTGCCTTTATCTTCCTCTGATGAATTCCAAACACCATTCTTCTGCATTTGCGATGGAAAACAAAAATGTGCTTAGAAGTATCTGGAATGTAATTTGGACCATCTCTGGGAGTTAGGATGGGCAATTACTCCTTTCATTGCGAGGTTCCTCACCTGTGGATTCCCACAAGCCTATTTTTTTTTTTTTTTTATTTCCACTGCTCATCAGGCTGAAAGAGGGAACRGCACGGGGCAGCAGTCAGACCTTGGACACGACTGCTGTGTGGCTGACACCTAAGCCACGTTGTGTCAAATATTGTGATCACCAAGACAYCCCCGTGCAAAATTTGAGAAATAGTGATTGTCTAACTAGAGGATGCCAGCAAGATAAGTTATATTTGTGGGAAGATAAGCACAGTTTGAAGATTCCTCAGTGTTCAGGATAGCTCAGAATAGTTCATGAGAGTGTATTTGTGCTCCAACTGCTGAAGGTGCCTGCAGCCTGGGAATACTCTCAGACACCTCACTCATTTTTGAAAGCCAAATATCTACTTATGAGGAAGGAAGGAAGGAAGGAAGGAAGGAAGGAAGGAAGGAAGGAAGGAAGGAAGGAAGGAAGGAAGGAAGGAAGGAAGGA